GAGTACCAATAATATTCTCAAGAAAAACTCGTCCAAGCATAGTGTCGCGTAACGACTAATTCAATACTACTTTTGAATTGTCACCACACTACATCCTAAATTCCAAGATGGGTAAAAGGGTTTTACGGCTTCGCAGCTTCGCAGACTCTCAGGTTGAAAGTAATAATGCTTTAACAACTTGAAAGTAATAATGTCAGGATTACTCTATTCATGTGACTTTTGATTACACCACCATCATAATTCTTAATTATTTCTTTAATCCGGGTGTAGGATTTGTCCTTAACAAAAACACCAATATCCAAAGAACCAAAAAACAACACATATATACAAACAATAATAACAAAGAATGGATAAAATAAGCTATGTTTAACCCTCTTGAGGATACATTTCTCCGGTGAAATCGCCATTAATGTCGCAGTAAAAAATCAAGGAGACCAAGCTATTGAAGAAATTGACTCACAAAAGACTTAAGAAGTCGCCACCAAACTTTATTATTTCCAAGGAAAAGATAAAAGATCGAAACGCTATTGTTTAACATGCAATGCAAGATAGTGTAAACTAAAAGCAAAGCATAAGGAAGAGATCTAAGGTACGGGGGTTGGTTATACAAAGGGAAGGTATTAGCATCATGTGTATCTATAGCACCCTATAGGAACCACTTATAATATATGTTTTTGGTTTAAAATTATTTGTTTGCTAAATGAGTGTGGAGATGGGAAAAGAAATATATTTTAGGATATTTTTGTTTTGAAAGACATGGTCTTATACCTATGTACCAGTTAAGGATCAAAACCTCGTAGTTCGCGGTAGGAATAACAAAAAGGGTTTGTTGTGGTTTATTTTTTTAGGAAAAGATATATTTCATAATCTTTTAGAGATAGAGCTCAACTAATACCACCACAAGTATTAGAAGATGAATCTTGCATCACCATGAAGGAAGGGCTACTAACTTGGATATAAAGATCAACAAGTTGCCAACTAAAGTCTTCATGTAGAAAGAACCACATTTTACTTCAACAATTACTATAGGGATAGGAGAATCATATCTCAACTACAAAGAAGATTTATATCTAATCTCTTTGAGAAAATATTTTAAATTGAAAAGGCAAGTGTCAAAAAGATTTGAGTGAGGTTGAATCACTTTTAGTATTTTGAAATTGTTTTGAAAAGATTAAGTATATTAAAGCATTTATTAAAGAAAATAAGTTGGAAAATTCAATGGCACAAAGTCTAGGTTTTTATATGAAAGTGGTGAAAATTTGAAAATGATGTTTTAAAGTTAAGAGGTTTTTAGAGTACATGAGAATACATAGGGTAAACATTCACAAGGGTTTTTATACAAAGGGGAATACACATGCTTATGACTATAAAGTTAACAATATTATCCTTTCCTTGGATTTTTGAGGGCACAAGTATTTTAATATCAATTACCAACTCACACATCATAAGAGTTGAGCATAAAGGGGAAGGTTAACATGCTTATCAAATAAAAGTTGTGACAAAATATAAAATAAACAATCAAGTAAACAAGCAAGCATGGTATCACTTTTGATTTTAAAGGATTTTATGAAGGAAATACATCCTTATAGGACAAGTAACCCTTGTGGTGCATATGAAGTTTGAAGTCATGGGTTATAGATTAGGATTTTTTTTGAACAACTTATAATTTAAACATCAAAAAGTCAAGTCTTAAACCTAATTAAAATCAATTTTTTCATGGTAAAAATCTACACAAGGGTCATGTTATCAAACAACATTCATTGGTGACATTGCATGATTATTTAACATGGGTTTATTCAAGAAAATTAACAAGAGAAAGTCAAAGAAAAGGTTTTTAAAACAACCAAAAATGACTTGTTTTGAATTAAATAACAAAGAGATGAAATAAATAATATATTTTTTTGTATTTTTCACATAGTTATAAAATAGAGTAGATAAATAAGAAGTGTGTAAAAATTCTACTCAAAATGAGTTGTTTTGATTGGTGAAAATAAATAGTGAAGTTTGATAATAAAAAACATTAAAAAAAATAGTGATAAAAATTAAGGAAAGTGTTGAACCCATACCCTCAGATTCATTGGTTAAAAGATCTACCACTGGGCCATGCGCTATGCCTTGTACAAAGGACGCACTTAGTTAAAAATATTTGAAACAAACTTCAAAAAAATCACAAAATAGAAAAATATGATAAAGTGGCAAAAGGGGGATTCACACTGGTTCGAACCCTCTCCCTTAGTGTCATCAAAGCCTTAGCGCACACATTCTTGCCAACGGGGTAGATGTTTCATTTGTTCACTATATTGAAATCAATAAAAATAAAATAAAATAAGTTTTTAAAAAATGATTTTTCGCGCCCCACCCTTCTTCTTCTTCTTCGTGAAGGAGCAACAACAATAACAACAATGGTGGAAATTGTAGCTTCCTCATTTCTCAACCATTTCAAAAAATTCAAACATCAAAGTTGCTTGGTTTTGGACGAGGAATTCAACCATATTAACCATTTAAATTAAAATTCAAAGATTAACAAGAATTCATATCAGTACCAAAATGAAACTTAACTATTCTGTTTTACAATTCTCTTCACACAAGCAAAACTAGTGGAAGATAATTATATGGTTAGCTTCAGGACAATCATATCTATATTTTATCTTTAGAAATTGAACATAAATGATGTATGTACGATGGTTTTTGAAAGAAGTCAAAATTTACCTCTTTGGAAAAAAGTTCAAAGCTTCTTCTATGGCTTTTTAGTGCAAAGTGATGATCGTATGATCTTGCTAGGACCTTCCTGAAACTATTTCAATCTTTACTTTGCTCTAAAGTTGGCTGAAATGCCCTAACCACCTCAAGTTGCAAGTCACGGTTTTGTGAATTGGAGGATGGTGATGATGATGTTACAGAAGTGTAATAGGGATTTGGATGGCCTCTATATGATGTTTATGAAGTGTTTGAATGGTTAGATTGCATAAAATTTGCAAGGTATGAGAATTTCGAAGAAAAGGTTTTCAAGGTTCAAAATAGAGTTTTTAATCAATTCTGAATTTTGAGAGTTTGAAGGTGTTGTTAAGATGTGAATTGGTGTCTTTGAAGTGCAAATAAGCTCTCTATTTATAAAATAAAAAATAGAGGTAATGAGATGAACAAGTTATCAAGTTATGGCTTGGTTCAAATTCAAAGATCAAGTTATATGAAATTTTCATGGTTCCAATGCACAATACAAAGAGTTGTTGGTATAGAGAGGTTGTTTCCTTGTTTTAGGGTGGAGTGTGATCAGAAGAAAGCAAAGGTATGGGATCAAGGAATACTTTGTATAAAAAACTTACTTTTCAAGAATGGCAATGATGTCTTTCTTCCTAAAATGGAAAATTAATTGGACAATAGCTTGTATCACTTGGACAAAGGCTCAAAAGTTTGTGTACTCTTCTGATTTTGGATAGATTTAGAGGTACTATGGTCTGAAAAGTGGGACTGTATAGCATGGCTTGGAGATTTGATCATAAGGTTATCGCAAAAATGACTTGTAATTCAAGTATGAAATGCCAACTTCCTCTCTTCTTCCAGGTCAAGTATGATAAATTCGTGCTCTTGGACATTTTGAAAAGCTTGAAACTTCTCCTACAACTTTCATGTTGAACACTTTTTCTGAATCAATCCGGATCTTAGTGAAAAATAACCATGAAGTTGATTACTTGTTAAGTGCAAAACTGTTTGATAAATTTCTCTAAGTGTTGGGAGAACTTCACATGTTCATATCTCTTAATTTGAGCATTTTTTAAAGATTTGGGTATTTTTTGGAGATCAATCCTCAATGACAAATTTGTAGAACTTTCCATTCCCTACAACTTCCATGTTGAAAGTTTTCATTGAATCAGCTTGGATTTTGGTGAAACTTTTTCATGAAATTAGAGCTTTTTAAGTACAAAATTTTTAATTTGTTCAAGATGTTGCAAAACTTTTAATTAGGTCAAGATGTTGCATTTGAGATCCTTAAATCATACTTCAAGCCACTAGGTCATGTATTGAGGTAAAAATCAATCATCTACTCCTTTCAGTCAAAAATCCTAATTGATCAAGACTTATATTGATGAAGACCTCTTGATTTAAAAACCTGCTTGACACAAGGAGCAAACACACAACTATTTTTTTTTTAGAGATGTAATGATGCATATGAAATAGGATCTTAGATAAAAAAAATTAGGATACAATAATATGCATTGTGCTGCCACTTACAAATGGACTAAATGTTCTTGCTATTTACATACATGGATGTTGCTATGCATTATGATATATAACAAAAAGATAATTTTAACAACGAATTTGTTAAAAAATAAGATTTTAGCTTTCGATTAGCTATAAAATTTTATGAGTATATAGTTGACCTTAGCTACATGACATATCACATCATCATCTTTTGACAACTGACACTGCTACATAGTAGTGTCACATCAACTCTATTAATGAACATTAATATAAGAGACAAAAAGTGTAGATGAAAAAATTTTAAAGACATCATTCTTTAAAACAAATATTCAAAAGAACTAAAAACGACAATTAATATATTTGAAGGGACGAAAAACTTATTTAACCTTATATTTTATTATTTGTTTTAACCTCTTTGGTCATTACTGAACCATAATTGTCTTCTATCAGCAAAATGACTTATTAGTAATGCTTTCGAATTTCCTGTAAATGAATTTTATTCGTATTTATTTCCATGAAGGATAAACCCTTATTCTTGAAGAATAACAAGTTCTTACCAACGAAAACATTAGCTACTGTGAGGGCAACATTTCATGCACCACAATCATGCCGAAGAATAATACCGCAATAGCCTCAGTTTCATAACTAACTTACAAGTTACAACAAAATTTCAACTCATGCTGTGATACACATAGTCAATTTGCTATGTTTACTATTACATATGCTACATATTATCGTAAAAGAACAAAATAAATCACGAACTCTGAACTTCGATCGACGACAAAACTTGATGTGAAATCTTAAGCACGGCCTGTGTACTGCCCAGATCTTGTATCAACTAGTATTTCGTCACCGACATTCACAAAGAGCGGAACATTGACAACAGCACCGGTTTCAAGAGTTGCTGGCTTTGTTCCACCTGTCAATTCAATCAAATTTCATTTACAATAAGTTCTTCGAGGAACGTAAGACAAAAGGCGACCATTTATTAGTCGAGATTCACACTCCCTTGATTTTGTTATTTTAATACCAAATGTGAAATACAGAATGCATTAAGACAATGTTGTGAATCAGACAATTTGATCATTTTAGTGTAACATTAACTTTTTTTGCTTCATATAGGGCTGGTATTAACAATGCTTACAATATAAATTTGGTCTGAGAGAAATTAGCAGTATAAAAAAATGGCATCACCTTGGACTGTGTCACCGGGATCCACATCGACTATCTTAAGCTTGACTGTTATAGGAAGATCAACATCAATAACCTGAAAAACATCAATAGACAATTTGTTTAATAAATTTATTATAAAAACATCAATTGATACTTTCCTCCATTGGAACATATAATAATCAATGATAGAAACCAATAACAGAACTTTCATTTTCAGTTATAACTGAATTTGGATTTATGAAAAGTTAGTTACAAAGAGAGATCACAGTTTGCTTATATAGGTGCAAACTGTGTGACCTGTAATAGCAGGTCTACATTAGGTAAGCTGACAGCTGTCGGTTATAACAAAGGCTTACAAAGAGAATTATTCTACACAATGAGTAACAATAGGCTGCTGAGTAGGAATACACAGTTCATGCAGGAGAGTTTCAAGCCAAAGAAGGTCTGCTGTGGCTTGAGCCAAACTTCTGTAATCAGCTTCTGTGCTGGATCTAGCAACAATTTGTTATTTCTTAGACCACCAAGATACCAAGTTACCCCCAAAATATATGGCAGCACCAGAAGTGCTTCTCCTGTCATCTGGGTCTGAGGCCCAATCAGCATCACAAAACACACCGAGAGAAGGCAGGTAAGCAGGTGAGTGAGGATACAAATGCAGTCCATGCTGAATGGTACCTTTAAGGTACCTGAGAATCCTTTTTACTGCAACCCAATGAGTTTCCAGAGGGTAAGACATGAATTGACAGACCTTGTTGACAGCATAGGCTATGGCAGGTCTAGTGATAGTGGCATATTGAAGTGCCCCAACAGTGGACCTGTACATGAATGGATCAGTCAAGGCAGGGGAGCCAGTTTTGGTGAGTTTGCAAGTGGATTACATGGGGGAATTAACAGGACTGGAGTCAGTCATATTGGTTTTGTGCAGCAGATCACAAATATACTTGGTCTGAGTTAACACCATGGAACCTTGACCAGTGGTCTTCACCTCAATACCAAGAAAATAATCCAAGTTACCAAGATGTTTGAGAGAAAATGCACAGTTCAGTTTAGCAATAATATCCATCAGAAGGGAGGAATTACTGCTAGTGATGATTATATCATCAACATAAACCAGGAGGTAGATAGTATGGCCATTTGAAGCAAATATGAAGAGTGAAGGATCACACTTGCTGATTGAGAAGAGCAGACTGCAACCTTTCAAACCACTGCCTAGGAGCCTGCTTTAGGCCATAGAAGGCTTTGTGCAATTCGCAAACAAGAGAGGGATTGGAGGCAATAAATCCAGGAGGCTGTTCCATATAGACTTCTTCAGTTAACAAGCCATTTAGAAAGGCATTGTTAACATCAAGCTGCTGGATAGACCACTTTTGAGTGAGAGCAATAGTAAGAATAAGCCTGATGGTAATTGGCTTAACAACTGGAGAGAATGTCTCATTAAAATCAAAGCCCTGCTTCTGATGGAAGCCTTTAGCAACCAGGCGTGCCTTATACTTGCTAACAGTGCCATCTGGATTCTCTTTGATGCGAAAAACCCACTTGCACCCAATGGGTTGTCTGTTGGGGGGAGAGGAACAAGTGACCAAGTCTGGTTTGTGCATAGAGCATCAAATTTTGTGTAGAAATATATTTTATATTTCCTTGTATTTGATGAGAATTCCATATACTGTATTTATAGAATACATAATGCAGGATTTGGAAGAAAAATCTGACCTAAGAATCAAGGGGATTAATTTCCCATGAATGCTAATTCTAATACAGAAAGGACCAGGAAATAATTACTAGTTAATTACATTAATCCTAATCTTTAATGAGTTGTACAAACAGAATCATTTGATTCTGTTATGATTATTCCACACTCCCCCTCAATCTGGGTGGTAGATGTCTATCATACGCAGATTGGATCTGATATTCTCGTATATGGTCCTTGGAAGGGCTTTTATTAGAATGTCTACAGTTTGTTGGCATGATGGAATATGGTTAACACTTATAATTTCATGATCAATTTTCTCTTTGATGAAGTGTCGGTCTATCTCCAAATGCTTTGTTCTATCATGTTGTACCGGGTTCTTCGCAATGCTAATAGCAGCCTTGTTATCACATAATATCTTCATGGGGTGATTGGTAGGAATTTCGATCTCATCTAGCATTCGCTTAAGCCAAATTCCTTCACAAATACCTTGTAACATAGCTCTGAATTCTGCTTCTGCGCTACTCCTAGCCACAACAGATTGTTCCTTGCTTCTCCAAGTTACCATATTACCCCATACAAATGTGCAGTAGCCTGTAGTCGATTTCCTTCAGATAAACATCTTGCCCAATCAGAATCGGTGTAGACTTCAATATCTCTGTTTGAGTTCTTTTGAAAATAAAGTCCTCGGCCTGGAGTACCTTTCAAGTACTAGAGAATTATGTTCACATTTCTCATGTCAGTTTCAGTTGGATTTGACATATAACGACTAGCCATGCTTACAGCAAAACCAACGTCTGGTCTGGTGTGAGTTAGATAGATTAGTTTTCCGACTAGACTTTGATATCTATCTTTATTAGCTGGTACATTCTCATCTCTCCTTTTTACTTGTTCTATGGGAGTATTGGCAAAACTTTGCATCCAAGCATACATGTTTCTTGAAGTAAATCCAGAGTGTACTTCCTTTGAGAAACTGAAATCCCATTCTTTGTTCATGCAATTTCCATCCCTAGAAAATACTTGAGTTGTCCCAAGTCTTTGACTTCAAATTCTTTTGCTAGAAGTTTCTTTAACTGGTTGACTTGTTCATCATCATCTCCCGTAATTACGATATCATCAACATAGACAATAAACAAAGTTATCTTCTCATCCAAAGAGTGTTTGACAAACATAGTATGGTTTGTTTGACATTGAACAAAACCATCTTGCTTGACAACTTTTGTTAGTCTATCAAACCATGTCATTGGTGATTGTTTGAGGCCATATAGAGATTTTCGAAGTCGACACACCATGTTGGAGGTTCCAGGTGATTCAAGTCCCGGAGGAATTTGCATATATACCACTTCTTCTAATTCACTATTTAGAAATGCATTCTTTATATCTAATTGGTGTAGGGGCCAATCTAGATTTGCTGCCAGAGATAGTAGAACCCAGACAGAATTGAGCTTCGCAACAGGGGCGAAAGTCTCCTCATAATCCACCCCATATGATTGTGTGAACCCCTTAGCAACCAACCGGGCTTTGTACCTGTTTATACTCCCATTAGTATTGTGCTTAATTGAAAATATCCACTTGCATCCTACTGTTTTCTTCCCTTTTGGTATAACAGTGATCTCCCATGTGCCATTTCTTACAAGTGCTTGAACTTCTTCTGTTACAGTTGTTGCCCATTCAGGTTTCTGCAATGCTTCTTGAATATTATTTGAAATTTCAATGTTGTCAACAGCTGCTATAAAGGACCTGTAACTTTGTGATAGTTTTCCATAGGAGATATTTTTCAATAGGGTGTTTCGTGCAAGTTCTAACCCCTTTTCTCATAGCAATAGGAATATCAATATTTGTTGTATCAACATGTTCAGAGTTAGGAAGAATATTACCTGAGGGAACTTCATTTTCTAGAGTTTGGTTTGACTCATGGCTTTGCATTGGAGCTATGCTTGACTCTACCTCCTTCCTCCTCCTTTTATAACAAAAACTCGTCCAATTACCAGTTTTTGGATCACAATCCTGTTGAGATGTGGATGAGATTATAATTGGTCCTGTTTCCATCACAGCTTCTGTTGTCCTTTCACTCGGCTGAATGTTAAAGGTTTCGTCTGGTAATTTTTCAGCTGGTTTAGGCATAGGTTCGGCTAGTTCAAGAGGCAAAAGTTGGTGTTCTGAATTTTCGATATGATGTATGTATGATTGCTCTCCTGAATACCAGTTTTGGTGTAATAGGGTTGATTTTCAAAGAAGGCTACATCCATAGTGTGGTAAAAAAAATTGGTATGGGGAGAGTAACACCTATGTCCCTTTTGGTGAGGATAGTAACCAAGAAAAATGCATTTGATGGATTTTGGGTCTAATTTGCTTCGGTGAGGGTTGAGGTTATGGACAAAAGTTGAGCATCCAAATATTTTTAATGGATAGAGGAAAAGATTTTGCTGGTTGGAAATAGGTTTTAAAGTGTGGAGAGTGGAGTCTTAAAGTTAAGGATACGGGAAGGCGTTCGATTTATAAGGTGAGTTGTTGAAAGGACAGCTTCTCCCCAAAAGTGTTTTGGGACATTTGTGGCTAACATGATTGATCTAGTCACTTCCAAAATGTGTTTATTCTTCCTTTCTGCTACTCCATTTTGTTGGGGAGTGTCTACACACGAGCTTTGGTGAACAATTCCAATCTTTTGAAGATAGGAATTTAGAGCAAGGTTGTAATACTCACAACCATTGTCAGTTCTAAGTATTTGAATATTGCTTTGGAATTGTGTTTGTACCATCTTATGATCAGAGTAATTAATCCCGGATAGCGGAGCGGAGCGGCCGATCCCCGGGAATGGGAAAAGTGGGAATAGCGGGATCCCGGATAGCGGGATAACTTTTTGTATACTAATAATTATATAATAATCTATAAAACATATGTCATGTAATACTAAACTGATTTCACAACACTCATAAAATATTTATAAAATCTAATGTCAAACAAAGAACAACGCTTAATCAAGATTCAAAACATAAAGGTTCAAATTCAAACTTAGTACTATCATATGAAAATTCAAGCAAACATAGAAATCATGTAGCATCATCAAAATATTCCTCCAATTCCTCATCTTCTTCATATTCCTCCAATTCCTCATCTTCTTCATATTCCTCCAATTCTTCATCTTCAACTTCTTCAAAATACAAAGAAACGGTGTTTACAACAAAACAAAATAGAAGAAGTAGAAAGTAGAAAGAAACAGTAGAAAGAAAAGAAGTAGAAAGAAAAGAAGTAGAATAAGTTTCATCGAATATGGTTTGTAGGCTACACAGGTCTCTTTACGGTTTAACCTAAATGTCTCTTAGTCTCTCCTAATTCAATATGGTATCTAGAGCCTTCTAAGAGGCAATTCTTCGCCGTGTTTTACCCGGTTGACCCACTGTCTTCCG